TGTATTAATATACTTTTTATCCCCAAGGACACTTAGAAAATTAAAGCATTCTTCTCCTGTTAAGTATCATTTTAAAATGGAAAATTTTTATGACAGAAAAGCCAGAATTTGTATTAATTCAGCAGCACTTAGTAAATTTCTACTCACATGCAGGATTTCTTCTGACCTACAGTGCATGGTGTATTTTCTGTTAGTTTTTTTTAACAGAGATTGCTTTTATTGTAAGTATGTGACTTTCTTGACAAAACTGTTTCTCATTTGTCTGGAACTGAAAAAAAAGATTAAAACCTCTTCTTTTCTGTATAATAAGTAAGGCCAACAAAAAGAGCTATTGTGAACAATGGCTTTAACTGTGAAATGAATGGTAGTTACATACTGAGGCTATTTGGATTTTTCTCTAATTAAGGAGGGTAAAGCCAGAACCTCTGAGTAAAATATGGCATCAGACTATTGACATCTAGACTGTAATTTCCCAATTTCCCATCAATGATTGCCAAAAAAGGATACAGAAATGCAAAAACAAACACCACTGCTGAAACCCAATGAAAAAGATTTTCATTATTTGAAGATTTGGTAGGAAAAGATGAAACACAAGTGTGAAACACAGTCATTTGGCCTGAAGACAACCTGATGGGTCCCCAAATGACAGTGGAGAGTTGAGCTAACCTGGCCCGTCATTGGTCCTCAACGTTGGGCTGCCGGAGCCACACAGCCAAGGAAACTAAGCATCCACTGCCCTTCTCAACAATGGCAATCTTGTGAGCAAGCCAGAGTCCTGCCTGCTCCCACTGCCTTGCCCACCCGTGCCTCTCTCTCTCTCTCTCTCTCTCTCTCTCCCTCCCTCTCCCTCTCCCTCTCCCTCTCCCTCAATCCAAACAGAATCAGAAATAGCCAGTAAAAGGACATGGCAGTAATTGGTTGCATTCTAAATAGCAGAATTTGGATAAAAAGACTGTTACAGGTGGGAGCAGGTACTGGCTCCCATGCATACTGTACTGTCTTATGCCAGAGTATAGCAAACTAAGTCAATTTTTAAAGCATAGACCAGGACTTTGTAATCAAGAAGAGTCCATCTGTACAGAGACATGTTCCATGAAATCTTGAAAGACACCAGAAAAGGCATCTTACAAGACACCTGGGGTGGCTCAGTCAGTTCAGCGTCCAACTTTGGCTCAGGTCAGGATCTCACAGTTCGTGAGTTTGAGCCCTGCGTCCGTCTCTGTGCTGACAGCTCAGAACCTGGAACCTGCTTTGGATTCTGTGTCTCCCTCTCTCTCTGTTCCTCCCCTGCTCACACTCTGTCTATCTCTCTCTGAAAAATAAATAATGATTAAAGAAAAAATTTTTGAAGACACCATAAATTGAAATAAAGCCTGTATACAACAAACTTCATTCTAAGTTAAGATTGGCATACTGCTAAGGTTGAAAACAAACTTTTCCTGGGAATCAGCAATTTTGTCCTAGGTACATACTGACAGAAATGTATGCACACATCTATTGCAAGATATACACATGAATGTTTATTAAAAATAGGCAAGACTGGAAATGAATAGCCCAAATACTCATCATTAGTAGAAAGCAAAAATAAATTTCATTGTTTTTTTAATCTTTATTTATTTTGAGAGAAAGAAAGGGAGCATACAAATTTTATCTTATTTTTCGTGACAAGAACTGACTTTTTTGATCTCACAAGGTCAGACAACGTTGACACTGCTGTCTGTGCATTATCTCATTTAGTCGTAACAATAATCTTATACTGTTGATAATATTATTATATTTGCTTAAAAGCTGTGGGAACTGACGCTGAGCAGTGAGATTAAGTAACATGTCTATGAACACAGTTAATTAAAACACCAGTCTGTCTAATGCAGAAATCAGTACCTTAACCAGTGTATCCTACTGCATCTTACTAACTCAAGTGTATGGTTAACATGTAATCAGTCAGCAATCACTTACAGATTAATGACCTGACCCAATTTTATATCTGCCTGACAGAGGACTGTGGTAAACTCCCCAGGATAACAGGACCCTTAGTGGCTACTGGCACCTGTTAATAAGTCTTCCTTTGGTACACCTGGACATTCAACTCTATTCCTGCACATATTAGATAACATTGTAACTAAACAATTACATTCCTGCACATATTCCTGCACATATTAGATAACATTGTAACTAAACAATTACATGCCTACTACTCCCCAGGAAGGATAAAATCCCTAAAAGTCTTTTGTGTCCTCTTATTTTTATCCCTCGAGTTTAACACAGTACATAGCACACAATAGGTGTTCGATGAATGCTTGTTAGATTGAAAAGAATAAATTCTGGAAAACATATGCAGGTCACAAATAGTTACTACCATAATTTTATTTGAAAAATTCTCAAAAATGTGTTTTCATGCAAACAGGCAGACTTCTATTGCTGTTTTTCAAATGTGCTAAAATCTTTGCAAAGGGTTCTTTCTCCACGTGAGCCATAACATGCATATTTTTGGGATACTCTTTAGGAAGACCAGCTTTGCTGAAAGTACCTGAGCTTTATGGTTTGCAATGCATTACATAATTAAATTGTTTTCAACACTGTTGAAAGATAAGGTACCTGATGGATGACCAGCATCCAGGGTTCTCTGAGCAATACTAGTTTTATTCTATCTTCTGGGAATAATAAACATGAAAACTCTGTTTCTAAGTTAAATTCATTCTGCATTGTAATTGGAAAACATTTCACTATTCCAGGTACCTTAAGAGAGGAGTCTTGATTTCATGTTCAAACAACCTTATGATTTCAAACAATTAAAGAAGTTGTTCTTTTGGTGACTAAACACAATGATATATAATAAATTTCCTGTCAGTTCTGCTTTTAAGCAACAGATTTGAGCAGGTTAATCAGCATCTTGGTTAATGGGTGCCATATATATATTAAAATAAAATAAAAACTCATAACCTTAAACTTTTATAGAGCCTGTACAATGTTTTTTTAAACATAATTCAGGAGATATTTCCAAATCTCACCATGCTTCTGTATTACCATTTCAATAGCTATTTTTCATTCTGCCTGGTAAAACTCATCTAATAATTTAGAATTCATAAAATAATTAGACAATAAATTAGAATTCTAGTTAATATAGTTTGATTGTGAACACATTTTTCAGAAACAAAAAAGTTGGGAATAATGCCTAAGGTCACTTATTGTGAAAAAAAATGGCGATTTTTTAATGGTAAAACAGCTGTTTCTCTGGGAGAGTTTAGCATTTGTTTTGCTTAGACTTAGAACAATGGGTAACAATAACTATCAGAGTTCCACTTTCAGTCTATGCTGCTCTTAAAATATGAAAAGCACATAAAATTGATTAAATACTATCTTGTCTCCTCACACTTTTCCTACCTAACCCATCATTTACTTCCAGGTCTTCTCACTGAAGGACTCTTGCCTTTGCCTAGGATTAAATATGTTTTTAATATCATAAAAATCAGAAGACACTCAATAATGAACTGGAGGTCCACCTGGGTGGCTCAGTCAGTCAAACGTCTCAGTCTTGATTTTGGCTCAAGTCATGGTCTCAAGGTTCATGAGGTCAATCCCCCATCTGGCTCTGTGCTGACAGTGCAAACAAAGCCCGCTTGGGATGTTCTCTCTCTCCCTCCCTCTCTGCTCCTCCCCTGCTCATTCTCTCTCTCTATCTCTCTCTCAAAATAAATAAATATTAAAAACTTTTTAAATAATCAACTGGAGAGGGTGGTATACTTTATGCAAAAGAAAATGAAGAAGGAAATTTGTATATGATTTTATTTTAGCCCAGTCCTTGTTGAAATTACCATGAAGATGTCTGGAGGCAGTGGATGGTAGGTATAAAACAAAGGGCACACCATGGCTATCAGTTCTGCTGTAATTTTGTGATTATTTATCTTAACCTGTTTTAATTTGATTTGTTGTAAATACTGGAGGCGAGAGGAGGAGATGTGTCAATACGATCTCTTCTTGGTTTTCTATTCTTGAGGTCAGCCTTACCTGGACACACGGGTTTATGGATGTTGCCTTCCTTTCTTCCTCCCACAAATATTTATTGATGCCCACTCTGTATCTGATTTGGGGTGAGATGTCTGGAATAATCTGAGACAAAACAGTAAACAATCCTTGATCAGGCAGATGGTAAACAAAATAAATAATAACATGTCATATAACATGTTAGGAGTTAGTAAGTGTGAAGGAACTTGAAGGGTCTTGAGGAGAGCAGTTAAATGCTGTAATTTATGATGTGGAGGATCACTCAGGTATCTCAACTATCATGCAAGGTGTATCTTGCAAGGCAGGCATTTGGTGGAAAATTGCCAGTCTATAAAAAATAGCTTGGGCGAATGGGCAGAGCAAGGTGAGGGCCATACAGCAGTCTTGATGAGCAAGTGATTAAGCTTGATAAGTAAGCTGTCTTAGTTGGATCACAGTTTTATATCCACTGGACAAGTATCTCTGGAGCAAGCAGCTCAGGAATTATTTATCAGTTCAGTGTTGTTGAACAGAGCTTTAGAAATTATACCTATCTGAATATTATTTAATATTGGAAATTATGTTGGCTTCAGTACTTATGTTAAGACTTAATGTCTTAATTTTTGCAATGGGAGTTGTAAGTATTAAAAAAGATCAAACATGTAAGGCACTTATGTCTGAGCCTGATGTTGAATAAATACATACTCAGCATATGCTAGCTGATATTATTTTTACAGGACCTTACTAAATAAAACTTACTATATGCATTTTGATGCCAGCATCAGAGAACCCAGGGTCTGGTATCAGACTGCCTAATTTCAAATTGTAGAACATCGCTTGCTAACTTGTCTCCTATTACAGACTTCAGACTTTCTTTAATCAACTTTCCCATATCTCATAACTGGAATGTAAAAACACATTTTTGTTTTTGGAGTGCCAGTATCCAAACCAAAGTGACTGAGACCAAAACGGTGTGTTTGTCTAGCCTACACTATTAACAGTCATTGCTTTGTTTGCAGAATGACATGAATTACATAGCATCCAGTGGACTTCTATTCAAAGATGGCAAAAAACGGATTGATTACATCCTGGTGTATAGAAAGTCAAATATACAATATGACAAAAGAAACACATTTGAAAAGAACCTCAGAGCCGAAGGCCTGATGTTGGAAAAGGAGGTAGGTGCTTTGATAACACTAGTTGTGTGGTAAAATATGCTGGAAGAGATATAATCTCATATGTTTTAATATGGGAAGTGTATACCACATGGCTTTATAAAATGTATAGTTATTTTCTCCCACATAAAAGAAATACATATGTACAGCCCCACTTAAATACGTATTCCTTTTTTACTTATACATTTCCGTAAATTTAAATATTTTTCAAAGGGCATAACTATTTTTACAGTTTTAAAAATTGAAGAAGGAATAATTATACCTATATAAAGTATAGAAAACCCTATGAAAAGAAAAATGTTAAAAGAAAAGAGTGCCAAGCTGTTAATGTCTGGGTTTCAATATTGGAATGAATGATTTGCTTCTCAATCCTTTTTTTTTAATGCTTTTATTTTTTTTTCAGACTTCATTTTTTAGGGTAGTTTTAGATCACAGCAAAATTGAGAGGAAGGTACAGAGATGTCCCATATAGCTCCTGCCCCCACACACCATCTCCCATTATCAACATCTCCCACCAGAGTGGTGCATTTGTTATAATTGATGAACCTACATAGACTCCTTATTGTCATCCAGAGTCCATAGTTTACATTAGTGTTTGCTCTTGATGTTGTACATTATGTGGGTTTGGGAAAATGTAACATGTATCCACCCTATAGAATTATGCAAAGTATTTTTACTGCCCTAAAAATCCCATGTGTTCTGCCTATACATCTCTCTGCCACCCTATTCATTCGCCTGTATAAGGGCATCTTGGTTGCTTCCAAGTTTAGGTAATTATGAATAAAGCTGCTTTAAACATCCTAGTGCAGGTTTGTGCATGGACAGAAATTTTCAACTTTGAGTAAATATCAAGGAGTGGATTGCTGGATCATATGCTAAGAGTATGTTCATTTTTGCAAGAAACCTTCATAATGTCTTCCCAAATGGCTATACCATTTTGCACTCCCACCAGCAATAAATGACAGTTCCTGTTGTCCAATTCCTCACCAGCATTTGCTGTTGTCAGTATTCTGGATATTGGCCATTCTAATGGGTGTCTAGTGGTAAGCTCATTTTTTTATTTGCATGTTCCTGATGGTGTATGAAGTAGAGCATATTTTAATATGCTTATTTAATATGCTTATTTAATATGCTCACCTTTCTTGGTGAGGTGTATGTTAAGACTTTTGGCTTATTTTTAAATTGAGTTGTTTGTTTTCTTATTGTTGAGTTTTAAGAGTTCTTTGTATATTTTGGAATAGCAGTTCTTCATCAGATGTGTCTTTTGCAAGTATTTTCTCAGTTTGTTGCTTGTTTTATCATTTCCTTTGACATTGTCTTTCACAGAGTAGAAGCTCACTAGTTATTTTTTTATAGTTATTAATTAATTGATCTTCAAATGTTGAACCAGCCTTGCATACTTAGGATAGATCCCAATTGGTTGTGGTATATAGTTCTTTTTATACATTGTTGGGTTCTATTTCCTAATATTTTGTTGAAGAATTTTGCATGTATGTTCATGAAAGATATTAGCCTGTAGTTTTTTGTTTTGTTTTGTTTTTGTTTTTGTTTTGTTTTTGTCTTTTTTTCTTGAAGTGCCTTTGTATTTTGGTAATAGTGCTGGCCTCATAGAATGAGTTAGGAAGTTTCCCCTCTACTTCTATACTCTGAAAAAGATTGTAGAAAATTGGCACAATTTCTTCCTCAGATGTTTGGTAGAAATCATCAGTGTACCCATCAGAGCCTGGTGCTTTCCGTTTGGGAAAGTTATTAGTTAATGATTCAGTTTATTTAATAGATATACATCTATTCAGGTTGTGTATTGTTTGCATGTGAGTTTTGGCAGATTATGTCTTTAAATAAATTGGCTCATTTCATGTAGGCTGTCAAATGTGAGCATAGAGTAACCATAGTATTCCTTTATTAATCTTTTAGTTATAGCGCAGTCCCCTCTTTCATTTCTGATATGGATGATTTGTGTCTTCTCTCTATTTTTCTTACTAGGCTGACTAGAGGCTTATTGATTTACTGATCTATTCAAAGAACCAAACATTTCATCAATTTTTTTCTGTTGTTTTTTCTGTTTTCAGTTTTATTGATTTATGAAAGAATTCTATTTTATTGAAATATTGTTGACCATAATGTTATAGTATGCTCTTATTCTTTTCTTCTGTTTACTTTGGATTTAAGTCGCTCTTTCTTTTTTTAGTTTCTTAAAATGAAAACTTAGATGATTAACTTTAAACCTTTCTTTTTTTTTTAATATATGCAGTTAATGCTATAAATTTACCCCTAATCACAGCTTTCACTATACTTAAAGTTTACATAATTTAAACTTTGATAAATTATGTTTTTATTTTCATGTAGTAGAAAATTATTTTTCCTCTCTGGAGCTTTCATATTTGTCCTATGTGTCATTTGTAAGAATGTCATTTAATCTGCATACATTTTGGGAATTTCCAGTTATCTTTCTGTTATTGGTTCCTAGCTTAATTCCACTGTGGTCTGAGAGCAGACACTGGATGGTTTCTCTTCTTTTAAATTTGTTAAGATGTGTTTTATGGCCCAGAATAATTAATCTTCTTGAATGGTCCATGTGAATTTGAGAAAAATGTACATTCTCTTGTTGTTGGATAAAGGAATCTATAGATGTCAATTACAATTATAGATGTCAATTACAGCAATGGTTGATTGATGGTGTTATTGAGTTCAACTATTTCCTTACTGGTCTTCTCCCTGTTGGATCTGTGTATTTCTGATACAGAAGTGTTGAAGTCTCCACCTGTGATAGTAATTCATTTGTTTCTCCCTGCAGTTCCGTCAGTTTTTGCCTCACATACTCTGGCATTCTTATCTGGTACATACACGTTAAGGATGGTTGTGTCTTCTCGGAGAAACGGCTCCTTTATCACTATGTGATGCCCTTCTTTATCCCTGACAACTTTTCTTTCCTTGAATGCTTTTCTTAAGTGTTCTTTACAGAATGTTGTATTTTTCTAGTGAAACAATAAAACTACTAATGCTTACTAGAAAAAAATGGAAAATAGAAAGGAGGTAAAAGCCTATTTTTCATACTCCTATTATCAAAAAAAAAAACCTCTTGCTATTTTAGTTAAACTTCTAAGGTCTTAAAAACACATATTAAATACATATTTATCACGTTACAGAATGAAAACATCTTAATGTGAAAACTGAAAGTAAAAAAAAGTGCAAAATAAAAAGCCAAAGTTCACATCTACTATCTCCCAAATCATATTCTCTTATTTTTTAGCAGCCTTGTTAATGTCTTGATTTTATTTTGCTGGGTGTCCTAAGTATATTTTCTAGATATATACAAATATACATATATTTTTTAGAAAAATTAGTCATGATATGCATTATATTCTACTACTCAATTCTGTTATTTAACAATATATTATGAATATCTTAAATTGCCTTTATATTTAGATACAACTCATCTCTTTTACTAGGTGTATAGTATTACAACTTGGGGATTTAGTCAACCATTCCCGTATTCAGAGAAAAAAAATTTTTTTTAATTTTTTTTACATTTATTTATTTTTGAGAGACAGAGAGAGACAGAGCACTAGTGGGGGAGGGACAGAGAGAGACTGAGACACAGAATCTGAAGCAGACCCCAGGCTCCTAGATGTCAGCACTGGGCGTGACACAGGGCTCGAACTGTGAGATCATGACCTGAGCTAAAGTCGGACGCTTAACCAACTGAGCCACCCAGGGGCCCCAAGAAAAACTTTAAATTACATGTTCGAGGGACTCTTAATTTACTACAAGTGGGATTTAACTACTTTTCTAGAAAATTAGATGGACAAGGTGAAAAAATTTTGATGATTTCTTTGGTTAAACATCTAGATAATTTGCTAATAAGTGTTATCAATGGAATAGAATGCTCACTGTTACTTAGACGTGATATTGGAGCCCCCACTCTTTTTTCCACAGGACTACTTCTGTGATTAGCCTTCTAAGAAACACATTAGGAAATACTGAACTATAACTTGAGATGGATCTAGAGAACTGATATGTTTATTAGCAATTTTTAATATATATAAAATAACACGGGGCGCCTGGGTGGCGCAGTCGGTTAAGCGTCCGACTTCAGCCAGGTCACGATCTCGCGGTCCGTGAGTTCGAGCCCCGCGTCAGGCTCTGGGCTGATGGCTCAGAGCCTGGAGCCTGTTTCCGATTCTGTGTCTCCCTCTCTCTCTGCCCCTCCCCCGTTCATGCTCTGTCTCTCTCTGTCCCAAAAATAAATAAACGTTGAAAAAAAAAAAAATTAAAAAAAAAAGAAAAAAAATTTTTTTTTTTTTTAAATAAATAAATAAAATAACAGTGCCTTGACTCTTTACAAGGTAAGGATTTATTCACACGCTGCCTAGTGTTACAAAATCGGGCAAGCTGACTTCTGGTCTCAATTTCTATTGATTCCTTTAGTTCTGTTTCCCTTTTTATGTCTCTTCTGGGAATTTTAACCCAGAATATCCATATCAGTGGACTAATTCAATCAATAAGTACTTATTACCAAAGTCTTATGAACTCAGTCTTGTAATAAGATTTTATTCTCCTGTGATTTCTCCTCCATACAACCAATCATTTCCTCATCTGTTCCAAGAGCAATTTATACATACATTCTATTATAATATTGATAGTTACTTTGCTCACATATCTCCAATTATTTATCAATTCAACAAATAATTGTGACAGGTACTATGCAAGCTACTAGGGATCCAATGAGTAAAGTAGACCTTGTCCCTGCCTTCACTGAACTTTCAGTCTACATGTGAGTCTGTCGTGACAATTGTGTAATTGTGAAAGAGGTATGACTTGGCTCAGTCTCCAGCTAGTTTTCTTGGCAGTAAGTCCAGATTCTCTTCTGAGTCATCCTCTCCCTTGTTCCTCCACCGTTTTCTTAGCAATAATACAGGATGTTATTCATCCAAACGGAGTCCTGTTCTGCTTTTAAAGGGCAGCCCATTCACCCTTGAGTTCTAACTCTTTAGTCGCTGCCA